ATAAGTGGCCCGAAAAACTCTACAAGGGAACTTCTACAGCTGACAAACACCTTCAGCAAAGTGGCAGGATACAAGGTTAACTCAAAAAAATCAGTAGCCCTATTATATACAGATGATAAAGTGGCTGAGAAAGAAATCAGAGAACTGTTACCCTTTACAATAGCCCCAAACCAAATAAAATATTGAGGGATAATGCTAACCAAACAAGTGAAAGACCTGTACAGCAAGAATTTTGAGTCTTTAAAGAAAGAAATTAAAGAAGATACTAGAAAATGGAAAGATCTCCCATGCTTCTGGATTGGTAGGATTAACATAGTAAAAATGGCAATCCTGCCAAAAGCAATCTACATATTCAGCACAATCCCCATCAAAATACCGGCACAATTTTTCACAGACCTTGAAAGAACAACACTCAACTTTATATGGAAAAACAAACGAGCCAGAATAGCCAAAATAACCCTGTTCAACAAAGCAACATCCGGAGGCATTACCATCCGTGACTTCAAGCTCTATTATAAAGCTATAGTCCTGAAAACAACTTGGTATTGGCACAAAAATGGACAGGTAGGCCAATGGAATCGAATTAAAAGCCCCGATACTAAACCACACACCTATGAATACTTGATTTCTGACAGAGAAGCTAAAATTTTACTATGGAAAAAAGACAGTATCTTCAACAGCTGGCATAATTCGATGCTGGCAAGTAGAAGACTGAATACAGACTCATGTCCAAATGGATCAAAGACCTCAACATAAATCCAGCCACACTGAAACTCTGAGAAGAGAAAATGGAAAGTATCCTTGAACAAATTGGTACAGGAGACCACTTTCTGAACATAACACCAGTAGCACAGACACTGAGATCGACAATTAATAAATGGGACATCCTGAACCTGAGAAGCTTCTGTACGGCAAAGGACACAGTCAACAAGACAAAAAGGCAGCCCACAGAATGGGAACCGATATTCACTAACCCCACATTTGACAGAGGGATGATCTCCAAAATTTACAAAGAACTCAAGAAGCAAGTCTCCAAAACACCAAAGGATCCAATTAAAAAGTGGGCTATAGAACTAAATAGAGAATTCTCAATAGAGGAGTCTAAAATGGCTGAGAGGCAATTGAGAAAGTACTCAACATCCTTAGCCATCCGGGAATTGCAAATCAAAATAACTCTGAGATACCATCTTACTCCTGTCAGAATAACTAAAATCAAAAACACCAATGACAGTTTATGCTGGAAAGAATGTCGAGAGAGGAGAACACTCCTCCACTGCTGGTGGGAGTGGCTTTGTCAACTTGTACAGCCACTTTTGAAATCAGTATGGAGATTTCTCAGGAAAATGGGAATAAGTCTACCACAAGAACCAGCAATTCTACTCTTAGGCATATACCCAAAAGATGCACATTCATATAATAAGGACATCTGTTTCACTATATTCATAGCAGCATTATTTGTAATAGCCACAACCTGGGAGCACCCTCGATGTCCATCAACTGAAGAGTGGATAGAGAAAATGTGGTACATTTACACAATGCAGTACTACTCAGTGGAAAAAAAGTAATGGAATCTTGAAATTTGCAGGCAAATGGATAACACTAGAAAAAACCATCCTGAGTGTGGTAACCCAGTCACAAACATGGTATGTACTCACTCATATATAGATTTTAGGCCTGAAACAGGGGAGTGCCAGCCTACAATCTCCAGTCAGAAAGCCTGGGAAACAGGGAGGACCCTAAGAGAGATATGCATGGTAACCCAGAGAAGGGGAACAGGACAGAATCTTCTGATGGGATTGGGAGCACGGTTGGGAGGGGTGAGGAAGCTGGGAGAAAGAGAGGGGGTGAAGAGGAGGGGAGAGGAATACATGGCGGGGACAGGATAGTTGAGTGGGGAAGAATAGAGGACAGAAGGATGAGAGATACCATAATAGAAGGAGGCATTATAGGTTTGGAGACAGATCTGGTACTAGTGAGATGTCCAGGGGCCTACAAGGATGACACCGGCTGGCAATCTAACCAATACTGGAGAGGCTACCTTAAGTGCCCTTCCCTGATAATGAGATTGATGACTACTTTGTATGCCATCCTAGAGCCTTCATTTAGTGGATGATCGGAACAAAGGCAGACACCTACAGCTAAACATTGAACTGAAATCCTGGATCCCAGTTGCAGAGAAGGAGAAGTGATGAGCAAAGGGGGGTATGACTTGGCGGGTGAAACCCATGGAAACAGCTGACCTGAACAAGGGGGAGCTTATGGACTCCAGACTGATAGCTAAGAGGCCAGCATGGGACAGATCCAGAATCCCTGAATGTGGGTGTCAGTGGGGAGCCCTCAGCATCCTTTTGGGGGCCTCAGGCAATTTATCAACATTTAGCCCTGTCATCCATATGGACGTTGGGAGCCCATTCCACGTGGATGGATGGTGTTTCTGCCTGGACACATGAGGAAGGGCCTAGGTCCTGTCCCAGATCATATGACAGACTTTCGAGGTCTCCCTGTGAAGGGCCTCACCCTCCTTGGAGAGTGGAGTAGATATTGGAGAAGGGGTTGGGGGAGGGTTGAAGGGGGGTGGGAGAGGGAGCCAGGATTGACATGTGAAGCAAACTTGTTTCTAATTTAAATTAAATAAAAAAATAAAATAAATAATGTAAATTACAAAACCAAACTCTAAAAGTACACAAATGTATATTATATTTTGAATGTTAGCATGTTTTACCTGGTAGTACATATAATCTTTCTGATTATAGAGTATAATCTTTCTGGTTGTAGAGTAATAGAAGTCAGGGCCTCTCTTTCTAAGGAAATCAGTCTGGAGGTGTCTCAAAAGACTAAATACAGAACTATCCTATGATCCAGCTGCACCAGTCCTTGGCATGACCCAGAGGGCTCTGTCTCCTCCTCCAGAGACACTTACACATTCATTTTCATCGCCACTCTGTTCACAATAAGTAGAAAAGGGAAGCGGCCTGAATGCCCACCATCTGGTGAATAGACAATGAAAATGTGGGACATAAATACAATGGAATTTTATTCATCTGCAAAGAAAAATAAAATTATAAAATTTTCAGATAAATGGATAGAACTGGAAAATATTTTACCAGGTGAGACAATCCAGCCTCAGAAACAGCACATGTTCTCTCTTATATGTAGACATTAACTTCGGACTTTTCGATTATGTGTCTAATTGGTAGTTCCTACAGGGTCCAGGAAGCTAGAGAGGGTGATTCAGATGGCAGGAGGGATCATCAGGGAGGGGCAATAGCAGAACATACGTGAAATGAAAGTAAGCAGAAAAAACTGGGTGGACAGTTTTAAGTCAGACTGGAGCTTGGGGGAGATGAAGGAGCGGGGGCGGAGGGCTAACCAAAACAAAGGATTATGTAAAGGCCATTTGGAAATGGGCTACTTTTGAAGCCAATTTAAAAGAAAAGGAATTTTAGAGAAAACCCCATGTTGGTGCATGGTACTGCTCCCAGAAGGCATAGGCTATTAAACAAAACTGCTGGCGTCAAAGATAGGATACATCCTTGTGATGTGCTGTTGGTCAGGGAGGCCCCGGCAGGCCCACAGATAGTACAGGCTACTGGCACTGTTCTTGCTTACTCACAAGACTAGATGATAAGACGCATGACTGAAGACATCACACGCTTCCGTTGCAGGATGTAGGGAAATCAAGCTGTAGCTGACAGAGGTCTCTGCGAGCAGCCAGCTTTTATAGGTCTAGACGTTGCTATGAAAGGTGCTGAGGAAGAGAAGCCATTAACAGTCTCATCCATGAGCCAGGAGGTAAAGGAAGTGACAACAGGGCAGCAGGGAGACTTGTTGAGGAGAAGGTTTTCAGGAAAGGAGGGGAGGAAACAACATGAAAGAACAGTGTGTGTGTGTGTGTCTGTGTGTGTGTGATCAAAGGACATATATGCATGCATAAAGCTGTATGTAAATAAATGAAGAAGACAGGACCACCATGATTTTACACCACCATTGACATAAGATTGTATATTCAACAGTATGGGTGCCTGGGAAGTCAGCCTTATAAAACACCACAAATGAAATTATAAATTAATATATATATGTATATATTTGTTTTAGATGCTGTAAACTTAACATTACTATTCCACATTTAGGAGGCTGTGTTCCAGACACTGTGCACTACCTTGCAGACTACACTGAACAGGCTCTGAGGGTACCATTCACAGACGTGTCTCAGAATGGCTTAGGAGAGTCAGTGACCTCAGACTTACACACATTCTCATATGTCATGTATGACATACTGCTTATTCCTCCGAATTTAAAGAAAAAGTGTCATCCAGTGGAAATGTGGTAAATGTTGTATACAATAAAGATAAACTAAAGAATAATATGCAATAGTCAGAAGAATAAAGTAGCAGCTGTGTATATGTCCTGATTTAATAAATATCCCATCACACCCTAAATCGGGTGTATGCATATATGCAGGCATATACATGTACACATATATTGTTTATTTGTTTTGTAGCAGGATCTCACTGTATAGCCCAGGCTGCCTCCAACTCATTGCAATCCTCTGGCTTCAACTCCAAAATGCTATCACAGCTCTTATTCCTCATGCCTGTCCTGAAGAGTGCACTTTTCATGAAAAAGGCATAATTAAGAATGGTGGAAATACATGCTATTATTTTTATTTGACTTTTGGATTCTAGGTGTATATAAGAGAAACAAACATAAAAACATTAAAAAGAGAAAGATTTTTGGAGAAATGAAAGTATAAAAGGATTTATTGGCATTCAGAAAAGTGGCAGGATACAAGATTAACTCAAAAAAATCAGTAGCCCTATTATATACAGACAATAAATGGGCTAAGAAAGAAATCAGAGAGATATCACCCTTTACAATAGCCACAAACAACATAAAATATCTTGGGGTAATGCTAACCAAACAAGTGAAAGACCTGTATACCAAGAACATTGAGTCTTTAAAGAAAGAAATTAAAGAAGATAACAGAAAATGGAAAGATCTCCCATGCTCTTGCATAGGTAGGATCAACATAGTAAGATTGACAATCTTGACAAAAGCAATCCCCATCAAAATACCCACACAATTCTTTGCAGACCTGGAAATAACAATAAACTTTATATAAAAAAACAAAAAATAAAATAAAATAAGTATCTAAAAGTTATCCTTTTCAGAAGCACTGATTATTTTAAAATAGCTCAGTTTTAAAAAGAAATCATATAATACATATTCCTTAAAAGAAAAATAGCAAAACCACTATAAATATGCCATAGCTTATTGTATTATGTATTGCATTATATTTCATTTCATATGTAATAAGACTTATTTAAGGAAACATAATAAAAATCACTATTAGAATTTTTTATAGGTTTGCAGTGATTGCTCGGGCAAGAAAAATGAGAAATCTATGTAGCTCCCCAGAAGTAACCCTGCATTGAATGTTATCCATTGTTTACAGCAGTGACTCAAAGCAGGGAGAAATATATTTCCTTATTGAAAAAAATTAGTAAGCATAAAATAAGATATGAATGCTCCATTGCTTATTCACAATTCATAACATCTTCTTGAGTATTCTCATTAAAATACATATTCCTTAGTCTCCCATGTAGCAAGATGACCTCTGTAAGCTTAGTAACGTGTTCAGAGACAGACAGGCAAAAATGACAATAGATTATTTTATATATATCTGTCAAGAGAGTACATCAATTCTTACGTTCTACAAGTAAAATATTTTGCATATTAAATATTCAAAAATTTCTGATGTGATAAAAAGGCCTTTTTTCATAATTGAATTCCTTCCATTATTAAAGACAGAGCAGTACTTTGTGTTTGTGAAGGGGGGTGTGCAGGTTGCCTGGATAGACGATTCCATTTTTTTCTAACTTTCCCTGTGGAATTGTGGTGTCTTTTAGACAAACTAAGCTTTGCTGTCCCCCAGTTGACAGGAAGATTGAAACCTTCTGTAGGTAAGGTACTTGATCTCTTGTCTTGTCTTTCTTTAGCACTGAGAGATTTTTTTCCATTATAACTCACATGTTCACAACCTTTGGTTGTCTTTTGACTCTGACAAGTGTGGTATTTGTCATAGACTTGTAGGCTTTCCCTTCCAGGAAGACAAATAATACTCTTGGGAACAAGGGAGGGAAGAAATGTTTGAGATGGTGTTTTCCCAAATGATCCAGTGGATGGATCCTGTAGATATTGGGGGAAATGTTGACTAACTTTATATCCATAGGCTAATTTTCTTGAATCTGAATTATCTAATTTGACTGAACATAGGTCATCTATTGTTATATTCTGATAGTTGTCTGATGGATTTTGAAATGTGGTCAATGTCTTAGAATTACACTGAGGAATGCTAGGTAAAATTCCAGTTCTATTTTGTTTTAAAACTAACCCAGTACCAGGGATAAAAAGTTTTGGCTCTTGCTGCTTTGACAAATGGGTGATATCTTTGTTTGAAGTCAACTGACGTGTTTGTCCATCCAAGGTGGTGCCTTTCCAAATCAGAGGGTTGTATATGACTTGTCTGTCAATAGGGCATGCATTGCACTTGTGGAATAACCAATTATCAATACATTTCCTGTGAAACTTGAAACAAAAAGGTTGTAAGTTAATCAGACCTACAGTAACACAACTTACCTAAAAATTGCCAGTCTAGTTGTATATTGAAACTATTGAGCATAGGGAAGGAATTTTTTAAAGATTTATTTATTTATTATGTTCTGTCTGTATGTATTCCTGCACGCCTAAAGAGGGCTCCAGATCTCATTAAGGATGGTTGTGAGCCACCATGTGCTTGCTGGGAATTAAACTCAAACCTCTGGAAGAGAGCAGCTAGTGCTCTTAATCACTGAGCCATCTCTCCAGCCCCGGAAGAGAATTCCAGCTTATCAACTTTTATGAAAATATTTTGAAGAAGTTCCCGTATAAATACAATGCCTATACTGCCTGATTTCCATTTTCCACAGTGAAATGCTAAGCCCTTTAAATATATCACCTCCATAACTTGGTTAGAAACTCACCATTCAAAGTATTATTTTCATGCTAATTACTTCTAATGAAAGAAAACAAATAAGTAAAAAGTAATAACCAACTAGAATTGAAAACAAGTCTAACAATCCTGAGATGCAAAATTACACATACATTTTTGGTTATTTAAAACACTATTAGACAGTTTAAATGTGATTTTAAAGCTTGACATGTCTATGCAAGCAATGCTATTTCAGGAAAAAATGTGATTATTAACTTTGAACTTTTTTCTGGTGAGTCCTTATGAATAATTTTCAGTTACGGTATTTCTATCTCACCTAGAGAACTGTGAAAACACATGGCACAATTCTAGGATTTTTATATGCTTTTTACATGACACATATAATGGAAGTGCATAAAAGAATGCAGTTAAAGGGCCATTTATCCTAACTAGACAATGGATAAAGAAGCAAGTCCTCCTCAGTGCAAATCTGTCATGAGGGGCAAGCTGTGATCTCTGCAGCGTCTTGCCCACACGTGCTGTGCCAGTGAGCAAGCGTCTGCACAACCAGAAAACGAAAGGGGGAAACGTCAACTGCCACTTCACTCATGAGAAGTGGCCATTTAGCAAAAGTGAGATGAAAAGGACATGGCTTTTACCTTGTGAGTGCACGGTAGCAGTCTCGTATACTGACCAAGGCAAAATGACTTCAAACAAAGTCGACACTGGTACCCCGGAGCAAGCAGCTTGCTGTTCTTTGTTATCAGCAGGAGAGGCAGAGCCTTTATAGCGTGCTTTGGTGTGCAAAACTGACTGAATAAAGATAAACAGAGAGACCTGAGTGCCCGTGTGGCATTACAGATGAGAAAGTAATTCAGGGCCGGCATGAATTTCTACATACATAATACAATGGAACTGAGGTTTTCTTTAGTCAGAGATAAGTCTGCTGTTCAGATCTTGAATTTGGTAGAGCCAACTTCATAAAGAACATATTTTAATTTAGTCACATCATATAGGAATATTAATGAGATTTTTGTTTATAGTTTAAAGTCGGTAAAAGGACAAAATTCTGAGGGTCATACACTGAAATTATTTCACTTTGAGCAAGTAGTTAGACATACATTTAGAAAACACAAACTAATTTACTTGTCAGTTGTAAGCTCAAATACTCAAGATGTCAATTGGTAGATGACAATTTGTGAGACAATTACTTTTGCTTACCCCAATATTGATAGAGTAACAGTATAACTTTAAAAATATCGATTAACATAAAGGTATTCAGTGCCATTAGTTAGTGCTAAAGCAGACACAATGCTATTTAAAAACACAAGGTTGGTGAAAGGAGCTATTTTGGATCATATTCATATAGTCATCAGAAAAGTTAACGCTTTCCATTATTCTACAGATATATGTTCATAGTGGTATAAAATCATTCCTGTTTTAAAGATGAGAAAATGTGCAAAAAGAAGTGACGTTTGTATTCCCAAGCTGTCTGTGCCTTACCAGGACTGGATTGGAGCAGGCTGACTCAAGACCCTTGCTCTTCTGCGGCATGTGAAATGTTACTTGGGATACATATATAATTGGTCAATAAATATGAAACCCAGGAGCACATATAACCCATGCAAAGAAGAAATTATTCAAAGATCCTGGAACACAAGAACAGTAAATTTTGCTGAGACCCTCACCCTTGTTTTTCTTGAAGATATGGAGTGTTTGCTTCTTCCTCATTTTTACTATCTAAATATTTTACAACATCTGATCTTTTTTCTACTGATCTCCATCTTTGGTTTCTCTTCTGAAATAGGAGGAAAAATGAATAGATGTTATTTTGTAAGTCATAAACATCATTTCTGATTAAGTTATCAGGTTGCATATTGATAATATTGTAAAATGCTCATTATAAGAATATCTGCTTTATCACATTAAAATTATAAATTGCTAGTGGCTCTCATGTCCTACTGTGAGGCTGCTAGAACGACTCTGCCTTCTTCTTTTCAACACTGAGGGTTTAACCAACAGAACACCGAACTACACCACTACTTTGAATTCATCAACTTATTTTTAATTTTAAAAAGCTTTACTTATTTTATGTGTATGAGTGTTCTTCCTACATGTGTGTTTGTGTACCATGTGCATGCCTGGTACCTACAGACGACAGAGGAGGACACTGGATCCCTTGGAGCTAGAGTTACAGGAGTGTTCCCTGAAAGAGCAGCAAGTATCCAGATGAAAAATCTATCCTGTTCTTTTGTAAACTGTGAGGGAGGATTTCCTAAGTTGTCCACACTGGCTTTGCAATCCCCAGTCTTCTGGATAGCTGGGATTATAGGCATGTACGTACCAACATGGCCAACATTACTACTTCTCCTCCTCCTATTTTCCTCATTTATTTAGTGTTCTCTCTGATTCTGTCTCCCCCATCTCTCTTCCTCTGTCCCTCTTCCCTCCACCTGTATTGCTCCCTCTATCCCTCCCTCCCTCACTGTAAGTGTGTGTGTACATGTGATGGCACTTGCAATAAATTACAGGAATAGATAGATCCTTTCTGTACCTTGTAGGTCCCAGGAATTGAACTTGGATCACTAGGCTTGACAGCAAGCCACTGAGTTATCTTGCTGACTTGCCCATTTCTTTTTAATGTAAAATAATGCTAATTATAACTATATGTGTTTGACTGTTATGGTAAGAAAAAGGTTACTCAGCATCAGGATATGTATTTATAATATAAACATATACACTTAATGATAGGTTTCTCTAAGTGACTCAGACTAGCTTCAACCATGGGATTGTCCTGACTTAGCCTCCCAAGTGCTGAGATGACAGGTCTGTACCATCATACCTGGTTTCAGGAGATGCTTTTAAAATGCATGGTTCAATGGATGCCTAAAGGTGCTAGGTATTATTATTGTGGGCATGAGAAATTTTTAATAGAAGACTGTAATGATTATCAGAAATGTGATGATAAGCTTACCCACCGGCTAGGGTCTCTATAACTAATTTTCAGGCTGAGGGCTACAGTACCTGTTCTCAAAGTTTCTTGGTGATACACAGTGCTTGTTATTGTGATGGATTCTATAAAGCACCAGTGTGAAAACTGGTTGCTTTGTACACACTCGTAGAATTGTGGAAGTAATTTTTAAAGTAAAAGTCAGTTAGTTCATTCCAGAGTGCTATCTGCATTTCATGCTCTTAGATCGACTGATCTTTACAACATGATGGATACCACATTCAGTTTAAGGTGGGCACCTTACCTCACGAAATGCAAAGGTGTGGGCAAGATGGCAGCAGCTGTCAAAGCATTCCTGGCATAAGTGATACTCTACACACTCAGTGCACCTGAAACACGGGAGAGAGAAATCCAGTCACTGCCATGGTGTTGACTCATCTTCCCGAGAATGAATGGCCCACCACACATGGCAAAGCCCACTCTGGCCACATTGTGAGTTAGTTTCCTATTGCTTCTGTAGAATCTCCTACAAATTCGTTAACTTAAATAACGACAGTTCTGCAGAATGCAAGCTTGATGAGTCTCAAAAGGATAAAAATAAGGTGTTGGCCTGGCTGTGTCACTTTCTGAGGCTTCAGAGGAACACCCATTTCCTTGACTGTGCCACATTGTAAAGGCAGCTTACACTTCCTAGCTTGTGGTCCTTACGCCATCTTTATTGTAATTAGCAGCACTATCTGCCTTTCTTCCATAACCATATTTCCTTGTCTCTTTCCCCTCCCTCTTGTACTTTCAAGAGCCCTTGCAATTATTCTGAATTTATCTAGGTTGGAGCCACCTTATTTAAAGATCAGTCGACAAGAAGCCTTAACTCTATTGCAGCCTTGCTTCCCCTGGACATGGAGCCAGGCATTCAGGTTCTGTGATAAGCGTGTGGGTTTATTTGGAGACTGTTATTGTTTTGCCTCCTCCATGTCCTTTCTGTGATGCTTTTCCAGGACAATTTAGGCCCCAGTTATTTCTTTCTCTAACATTCCATGGGACCTAAACCCATAGATATGTGATCTGTCACATGAAGGATTACACGTGGCAGGTTCTTTGCCTGCAGAATCATATTCTTTTTTTTTCCTCCCACAAAAAGATAAATGTATGAAGTCTCAAAAAGTACAAATAAAATCTTAAAATGTAACTTTTCTCAGAAGTCCATTTTCAAGCTTGTTATTAGCAAAATTTTACCATATAAGATTTTAGTTTATATGTCACAAAATTCACCAAATAAATATTGTGAGCGTTAGCCAAACAGGTTTATTTTTAAATGCAAATTTTCTGATGTTTCTGATGTTTAGAAAGCCTGAAAAATAAGAAAAATATGTCCTCACACATCTCAGAAGATGAAAGTGTTAATTTATTTATTACTACTTTGCACATGTATGGATCCTTAGCAATTAATATCACAAACCAGCAGTGCTGCAGTTCTCTTGGTACATCAGAGTAGGCTGGGATAAGAACCTAAGCAACTGCACTTTAACATACAGCTGATGTTTTATGAACTAACCTAAAAGATGAATCAGCTGCATTATGACACACTGTTGAAGAGGAAACTCCCGAAGCAGCTTTTGGGGCTTACTGAAATGTCTGATACTTGAAAGAAAGAGTGGTAGATGAAGTCACAAATGTCCCAAATACCGCTTTGATTTGTCATTGAAAAATAAGAAACTGGTAGTTGTCACTAGTAGTTGTTGACCAAATCCATAGACAAGTCACGAGAGGTTATCTTTAGATGAGATTGAGTCTGGAGCATGGAAGCATGGCATGGAAAGAGTCAACTTAATCATTTCTGGAAGGACAATCCAGCAGGACAGAAAACAGACAAGACTCTGCAGAAGAGTTGACCATCCTCAACAAATCCAAGCCAACAGTGGTTTACCAGCTCTGGTTGAATCAGCCGAGTCACACACATTAACCCTGTAGTAATATACGAGTAAAGGGCCAGGGATTTTCTGCTTTGTCCCATGGCTGCTCTTCCCAGCCTTCTCTCTCATATATGGTACGTGGTCCTTAACTGTTCCAATCTGCTGTTCATGAAAATGATTAAGCTGTCCACACAACAGCTACCAAAAGACCACTGTTCTAGAACCAACACTCCTTAGCTAGCCTACCTCATCCTAAATGTCTGTACAAGTTCTGTCACGCTCAAGTTAGATGGCTCCTTGGTGTCCTCTCAGGCCAGCCATTTTATCATACTGATTTCTGTTAATGATTAATTTTTTCTGGGTAGCACAGAAAACAGTCTTAAAATTGAAGAACACAGGTATTAAATTGGGATTTTAAAAAAAGCACTCTTGTTTTATCAGAAAGTTATAAAACGTATTTAATTTGACTCATCATAGTCTAACTTTGGGAAACAGAAAAGTACATTGTTATATTTCAGGAAAATTGTAATGAAGATTGCAATAAAACATTTTAAAAATATATAACAAAATTTTATTCAAGAAAATGTAGTTATCAAGGCATAGCACTTGTGTAGTTGTGGCAATTATAGGTAGGTTAGGGATTACACATAAAATTGTCAAACTGTTTTCTCTGCTAATAGTATTGCCTTTGTTATCACTGAGATAAATATGAGTGCAAACAAAACCAATGCTCAAAGTAGATGGAACACAGTCTGTAATCTGGGGTAAGTGGAAACAGTTAAAAAAATTCAGCCAATCTCATTACTAGCAGGAGACTATGGCAATGACCCTCTCATCCATAGTCCACAGTATTATAGGATGTGAGATTTCTAGCAGGACTCTGAACAGAAACTCATGAAGTAAACCTAATGTTGGAGCTTCCAGATGCTGCTTCAAAGTCAAACCACAAGAGAATGCAAAGCTAACACTCTTGCAAAAGTGAGGAAAATACAATGAAATCCCAAATAAGCTGTCATCACATGAGACAAATACGAAGGCGAGAGAGGGCTGCTTAAAGCCGGATGCCCTGTTGCGCATTGTTACGGCTTTGCTGGGGACTTACTTGTAGCACCTCCCCTCAATCGGCATTTGTTTGCAGTTATTACAGGGAATTCCGAGGTGCTTGTCTAGTCGTTCTCTCTCAGATGAGGTCATAAGCTTGTTAGAGTTTCGGAATTCCTCCAAGATAATTCTCAATGGTGCAAACTCCTCCCTACACAGCGGGCATTTCACTATGGAGCTGTTAGACACTGTAGCTTGATAACTAGACAAGATCTTCATGCATTTTATATGAACGTTATTGCCGCAGCCAAATCTATCAGAAATAAAATGCAAGTTTATCACTTATTGTATGTATTTGCTAGAAATACTTATTTAAATTAAAAAATCTCTCTGGGACCATTTTTATTCCTTATAAAAAGGCAATTTGAACTGATTTCTAGATATAGCTGGATTACAAATAAACAAAAACATAATTTGCCATCTTTACCAGAATTCCACATATAAAATGTTCTCCATTTAAAGGAAAAGGTAAAAAAAATCATCATAAAATTATGTTTCACACATAAAGCCAGAATGAAAGTAGCTTCAGCACAAAGGAAAATTAAAACAGCAATTCTTTAAACAGAGGGTGAAGTGAGTCCTACCCCCCCCCATTTCTGTCTTTGAGAAATCATGTAGCATCTTAATCACTTGAGCAATCTCTACTGGGAGAAATTAAATTGGGGAAGTAGTTACTAGTTTTTCAATATTTGATGGAAGTAGCCACATGAAAACTTGCAAAATAGGAGTCGGCTATTTGGCAAGTATGCAAGAGAGAAAATGAAGAGATTCCAGCAGAATGGCTGCTCCAATTTTTAAAGTCCAACTTCTGAGTGCCGTGGAAAATAGTATGAATGAGATTCAGTGAGGACTTTTACTAAGTAAAAATTCCAGCCATTTAAGTTAGAAGATAGAAGTTCTTAAAAACTGAAAACATCGTTTATAACTTCAAAGTTGAACAGTCTTTACATTCAGAAAATATTGTTGCAGTATTATTCTCCCGCCTCTATAAAGAAAAACCAAGGACTGGTGAGACGGCCAAGTGAGTAAAGGCACTTGGAGTCCAGGGGTCTGAGTTCACTGATCACTGAAGCACTTGAGGTGGGAGGAGAGAATAAACCTCCACAAGGTGTCCTCTGACCTACACACACACACACACACACACACACACACACACACACACACACACGCACACGCACACACGCACACGCACAAACACATACACACACGCACACCACACACAAACACACCACACAAACACAAGCACACACACAATACACACACAAACACAAGCACACACACGCACGCACGCACACACACACACCACACACAAACACACAATACACACACAAACACAAGCACACACACACACATACACACACCCCAATGCATGAATGTGCCCCTACCTCCCCAAATCAACCAATAAGTCAATCAACATAAAATAACCCTTAAGGGCTTAAAGAAACAAACAAGCAGGAAAGTCTTCCTATTCTTCATTACTTAGAGCAGAGGGATGAATGGCTGTGGAGTGACACTTTTAATTTTTACCCTTAAAACATAGCCCAGAAATACTTACAACATGGTGTCTCATAAGACATATTGGGAAACAAAAGAACCCAAAGGAAATAGGATTAGACACAGAGGAAGCTTTCATTTTGTCTCTCGAGTAATCTCACAATGTAACTTCATAAGAATATTAAACTACAGGACTGGAGAGATGGCTCAGTGGTTAAGAGCACTGGCTCTTCTTCCAGAGGCCCTGAGTTCAATTCCCAGCAACCGCATGGTGACTCACAACCATCTGTAATGAGCTCTGGTTCCCTATATTGGCCTGCAGGCATCCGTGCAGGCAGAACACTGTTACATAATAAATAAATAAAAATCTTAAAAGAAAAGAGTATTAGACTAGAATTTTCTTTTTCTTTTTCTTTTTTGCAAGTTAAAACCATGAAGGCAGTGCAACTTTTAATTAAATATAAATACCCTCTTAATCCAATTTGATATTTTTTCTTTCAGATTTTTAAATTTAAATTAGAAACAAACTTGTTTTACATGTCAATCCCAGTTCCTTCTCCCTCCCCTCCTCTCCTGCCCCCCACTAGCCCCCTATCCAATCCCCTTTCTGCTCCCCAAGGAGGGTGAGGCCTTCCATGGGGCATCTTCAAAGTCTGTCATATCATTTGGAGCAGGGCCTAGGCCCTCCCCTGATGGGAGATGCCATTCTGTAAATCTGTCTCTTATTGGTTGTTGAATAAAGCACTGTTGGCCAATAGGGAAGTAGGATAGGTGGGACTAGGAGTCAAGCAGGATTCTGGGAAGGAGAAACACAGGTTGTCATGTAGCTGTCATAGGGGTAAGAAGTCTGGACCCTTTTCTAAGAGAAATACTTAGATTAACAATTATGGAGTAAATACTTAAGTCAGAGCTAGCCAGTAAGAAACAAGCAAGGCCAACAGCTTCATAATTAATATAGTATCTTGTGTGTTATTTGGGGACTACAACGTGGTAGAGCCCAGGCGACTGGTGGGGAAAAACCAAAGCGGCTGGCAAGGAAAAGGCTTCTCTCTACACTCCCCCATGTGTCTAGATTGAGAAACTGTCCCTCTATGTGGAATGAGCTCCCAAAGTCCAATTCTATACTAGTGATAAATACTGATCTACTGCCAGAGGCCCCATAGATTGCCCAGGCCTCCTAACTGACACCCATGATCAGGGAGTCTGGATCAGTCCTTTGCTGACTTTCCAGCTGTCGGTCTGGGGTCCATGAGCTCCCCCTCATTCAGGTCAGCTGTTTCTGTGGGCCTCCCCAGCCTGGTCTTGACCCCTTTGCTCATCACTCCTCCCTCTCTGCAACTGGATTCCTGGAGTGTGGCTCAGTGTTTAGCTGTGGGTGTCTGCTTCTGCTTCCATCAGCTACTGGATGAAGGCTAGACTCGAATTTTCTTAAGACTTTAGAATCCACAGCTAAATTGCTTACCTGCAGAAGGTGACAGGGAGTTTTTTCTCCAGCAGCACCTCTTGACAAATAGGGCAGATGTCCTCTGCAGTGATGTCCTTCTGTTTAAGGCAGCCATCTTCTTCCACATGTGCACTCTTGCCACCTGCTCCAAACTTGGGACTTTGAACCTGATGTACCCCCCGCAGCAAGTCATTGATTTCTCCTTCCACAAGACCCAGCTGGAAAGCAGCTATTGAAAAATATCAACGCTTAAGTATTTGGTGGCAAGAAAGGAAACACAAAGATGTCATAGGATGAGTTATAATTTTCTTTCAAATATCAGAAGGATAGTACTAGTTGGATTATTAGAGTCACACTGATCACTTCTTTGTATTCTATTTGGAAGAAAAAAGTTAGAAAAGAGTAATTTATAAAAATAATGCACCCCCCCATTTTGTTACTAAAAATAGGGCAGGATGCATCCATCACAGGCTTGAGATGTGATAACATTAACCCTGGGTTTGACACGGTAACATTTTGGTCTTCTTGTGAGTCTGTAAGCAAATATCTCATCAACACACAACAGCATTAAAACAAAGGCTGGAAAAATGGCTCATTAGTTAAGAGCACATATTGTACTTGCAGAGGACACAGGTTCAGTTCCCAGTACCCTTGCAATTACAGCTCCAAGGATTCCAATACCCTTTTCTGGACTACATGAACACCCCCACCTTGGGCATGCACACAGAGACACAGACACATACACATTTAAATGAATTAAAATAAACAGTAAGTAAGAATACATAAAGGGAAAATAGAGGCATGTGAACAGGTATGTAAGGCTGTTTGTGAAATGGGTTGATAATACAGAGGTAGATTAGTTGTGCCTACTTTCCTGTTTTAGCTTTGTATCCATAGAGACGAGTATTCCTGTCATCTAGGTCATGTCAGACTTGGACAGTGTTCTACAGGACAGCCTACACCAGGGGCTGTACATTCTTGAGTTATGAATTTTCTCCATCCTGCTGTTCTTTTTTTCCCCAAGGAGCCAATTTATTTTGGTGAATAGGATTATTGCTACTACTGCCACCCTGACTCTGCCGGTGATGTGTCCTGTGGATGATGCGTTGATCATGATCAGTGCTGAACGTTGTTGTTTGCTGACTCCCAGAGACTGGCACAGTGCTCTACACTCTGTCCTGCAATCAGCACATGCTCTGCATTTCTTTTCTTTTTCTCCCTTTTTTGAAATTTAAATTAGAAACAAGCTTGTTTTACATGTCAATCCCAGTTCCGCCTGCTTCCCATCCTCCCCTCCTCCCCTGCCCCGCACTGACCCCCATCCCCTTTCTGGTCCTCAGGGAGGGTGACTTATTCCATGGGGGATCTTCAAAGACTGTCATATCATTTGGAGCAGGTCCTAGACCTTACCCCATATGTCAAAGCTGAGAGAGTATCCCTCTATGTGGAGTGGGCTCCCAAAGTCCAATCGTGTACTAGGGATAAATAATGATCCACTACTAGAGGCCCCATATATTAACCAGACCTCCAAACTGACATCCTTGTTCAACTGTGCTGTTTGTGGTTTTAGTCTTAAAACCTTAGATTCCTTCTCCCCATCCGTGGCTCCTCCCCTGTTCACCCCCTCTTGCTAACATAGCACAACTTAAATTCTTGTTGTTAGTAGTCCCCCAAGTTCTTTTGATTTTGTATATTTTAAATAAGTGTAAGTTAAATATTTTATGCAGGAGTGTGACAGCTCTGTTTTCATGGAAATACTCCCTTCCAATTAAACACTGAAAAAGAACAGCAAAAAAAAATGGTATTTTTGTTTCAATAAAGGAGCCTTTGTTTCTTATCTGAGGTTATGTGGCAGGTGCAGGTGGACTGTGGGAGGAAATCAAACTTAATTACCCAGTACTTGGAGGAGGAGGGTTATTTGTCATAGAGAAACAGCAACATCTGCTCTCTTGAAAAAAAAAAGGAATTTCATAGAAGACGCTGCCCAGGAAGAAGCACTTGAGATCATGTGGGAACGGTAATGTATGAGACCAGCAAGAATATTCTGCAAGATACTAACAAGGCAGCTAGCCTTGTCCAACAACCTCAATCCATCACACAAATAAAATACTACTTACTGAATGTTCCTATGGTCTTGTGAACATGAGGCAAACAGAGCATTTGCATTTTTATTAGGTTTTATTTAGTGTGTGTGCCTCCCTTATTTGTAAGGCTATCACCCATCTCCTTGTTTACTATTTGGACTTCGTTATGTATATATAAATTATCCTTCGACTGCTTATTGGAATGCAACTGAAAATTCTTTCAAAACATTTCAGAGACTACACTTCTTTTGCAAACATGTTCCTTATGTTTCCTCCATGACTTTATTAATTATTTTGAACATATGGCTTCTTGGTACTGTTAAACCTATTTCTTTTTTCTTTTCATGTGCACTGTCTCAATCCTTTCAAAACTATCTTTTCTTTATATGGCAATAGTCTTTGAAAAAAATTTTGCTGGCTCTTGTGTTGTTTTTGTTATTATGGTATCCACATGTGTCTGTGTTGGTGCAGGCCAGAGGATGGTGTTTGGCTTGAATTAATCATCTCTGCATCACCACACACTTGCCTCATTAAACTATTGAAAAAATTATTTTATCCTTCTTTCAAGTGAATTAATCCAAGAAGAAGGCAGAGACATTAAATGAAATCTAAATAATAACAAATGGACATATAAGCTTTCTATATTTAGAAAGTTATCTAGAGGCATTTTGGATTTGTGTATAGGAATGTTGGCCATGTGGAAGAGTGGAAACCATTCCGCTGCTTAATTTAGTAGGTGTGACTAAATAGCTATGAACTTGCAGCTGCCATTCTTTCCATTTTGCATGACTTAGTCTGTTTTGTCCTAAAGTTAGTAATATGAACATGTCAGAATGTTTCTACATATTCTTATTTATACTAGAGACTTAAATATGTAGTTAGCTTCTTTACATCCTATTAAACATGAACCTAGAAGCACATAAAAATATTGATGCACTTCTTAGCTCATTGTAAATTGGCAAAAGTATTTGAAAGAGCAATTTACATGAGGAGCTAACAAAAATTTTAACATGTCTATTGAAAAATTAATGATCTGTTGAAACAAGAAAGCTTTGTCTAAAATATAAAAAGTAGAAATGAAGTAAGTATTGAATAATGGAAGGTTAATTTTCAGTGGAATATTAATCATTTGGTAAATTTATGATAAATACATAGAATTGAACGTAGGAAATTGTGTGAAAAAGGCAGAATACAGGATTCCAACAAAACGGGTTTGTGTATATATATCTGTATATTTATGTATACTTTCATAAAATCATAAAAGCAACAAAGAAAATAAGGTTCTATATATTCTTCTGGTGGTAATTTGAAACTTTCTTTTTTAATGTGGTTTTGATTTATCTATAAATAATTTAATAAAAGAACAGATTACTTTATACATCATTTCATTCAAAAGAAACCACTAGATGATATATTTAAGTTTGATTAGGAATATACTTTTAGGAGAAACAGGTTTGATGTTCAAAAATATTTATTTCATTAGGAAAAACAAAAATTTCAAGATTAATGCATAATCAATCTAAATAATTTTATACTTTCTGTATTAATAGTTAGAAAAGCAATAGCTTCTGCTTTTAAGAAGTTTTTAAAAAGCCCACATGAATTATTAGTATGATTCATATAAAAAGGCTGATTTTGAAGTGAAAATACTGAAAATATTATCAATTCACAGGGTTCAATTCATAATGTGTGTCTAACCCACATACTTAAGGCTATGCTGTTGAATATTAGTCATTGGCCATAGGAACTGTTATATGCCTGGATTTAGCCAATGTGGCCAAAAAAAAAAGTGAATTACATTTATAGCTGATGATCTGTAGTTAACAAGAGTTTTATGAATATGTTTGTGATGACTTGAGTATTATGTAAGTCTATTTTTCTTTTTGCTGTTTATTTTTAAATTAGCATACAAAGTAATGACATTTTTATACATTAGACTACAGGCAAATCAAATGTTAGCAAATGGAAATTTAGTGTTCAAGTATAGATCCTGAGAAGTTAAAACACGCACACTAGATTTTGAAGACAACAAAAATGAAAGAGTAAGTGTTTCTAATTTCTACTCAAATTCCATAATGACATTTTATTTTTCTGTATGAGGCTAACTTGATATATGTTATTAAAATTATTTCTCAGTTACTTATTAACTCTTATGGCTGCAACTACATATGGCTCATCTTGTATTTCTGTTCTTCAACTGAAATATGGAAGCTTGTGAAATGATATGGGAAAACAATATTGAGAATGAGGCTTTCAGAGAATCAACATTTAACTTAATGTTGAAGTGGAAAAGAAAACATGTATGAGATCATACAACCTTGCCATCACACAACAAAGGGTTTGAAGAGATGACCAAGGAGGCACAAGGTACAGGCTGTGAACACTGCGAAACTGCAGAGAATAGGAACAAGGACCTAAGAGAGTTGAGCAACGTAGAAACACCACAGGTAGGAAGAAACAGGATCTGTAGAATGACTAGACTTGGAATAAGACTATAAGAGAACAAATAAAGAATTGCTTGACTTCTAAGTTGAGAGGACATCAAAGGGGAAGTCAGTATGTGTGGTGATCAAAGAAGAACAGCCCCCATAGGCTTAATCACCAGGTGCCCTCCTGAGTGCTGGGATTAAAGGAGTGCCTGGTTTAGCCAAACTAGTTTTAAATGCATTATGTGTCATAATAATTCTGGAAACTGAAGATTTCTATCTATTCTATGCAAAATTTGTATATGAAACCACTGTAGACCTTTGCTTAGGATAAGGTAAATTATTTCCTTTTAGATAATGCTGTTATTTCATCTCTGCTTTTCTAATTTAAACTTTGTGCAAACTTTCAAGGAAACATTTGCTATTTCGTGTCGGGTTTATGAACTTTCATTATTAATGTGTGCATGCATCTTCAGGTGAGCATGCACCAGTTTACATATGGGGTCCAGAGGGACTGAATTCAGATCCTCAGGCTTTCAATGCAAGTAATTCTACTTGCTGAACCATCTCTGTGATCCTCATCCCTGTTTTTATTAAGAAACTGAGTTTGAATGTGATATATAAGTTTGCATTTTTCTTTAAGAAGAAACTGTTTCAACTTGAAGTGTAAGAAGTCTGGGGAGAGATAGCTACCAGATTCTTTAGGAAAATAAGCATTCGAGTTTAGAATATGCTTATGTAATAAAACCCTTCCTTTAAAAATAATTTCAAATTAGTAAAGGATTAGAAATAAAAAGCCAGAAACTTACATTCATGATTCCTTGGAAGCTTGAATTTTTTCAACAACACCCTAATATTCACAAGTAGAAAAAATTAAAACATTTATTTTGATATGATCTCAATACATATTATTTAAACATGTAGACTATAAGGAGAATTATTTGATTTGCAATGCAAAAAATATTAGGAATAAATAAGTTAATTTTATGTTAATCACATATATGTTTTAAAATCAGTTGATGTTGAAATTGACAAATAAATTATGTCTGTGCCAAAGAGCTTGATGAAAGAGAGAATGCATTTATTTCTCAAGACACAGTCCTTCTAACGATAGTGAAGAAATCCAGATATTCATAATACTTTCTTTAACTTCATAGCAAGTGAGTACCAAGTAATTGATTTTCCACATCTACCATCTTAGTACACAGTAGAAAACTTTCAACTCTCAATAACTAAAATTATGATTTTTGAAGAGGGAGGAAATACATAATTTAAAAATATGTAACAAATGTGCTTCAGAATTAATTACATTAATATTAGTATACACTATGTTCTTAGATAATATTTGCATTTATTTTATGGTTAAAATATTATATGAAATGAGTTATGGTATATTAAAATCAGAAAAGAATGACCATACGCTGCCTTGTCATAAAATATTATTAGAGACATCTAACATAAGTATTATAGTGACACATTGTGTATTTGAAAGGACAACAGCTTTATCTTTCTTTTAGATACAGGCAATAACCTGTGTTAGCAGAGGTTCAGTAAAAGGTGACCGAAATGGAACAGTCCCAAACCCGGTAAGTTAAAGGCATTAGAAAACAAGATACACAGGTGTGTGCTATCATGACTGGTTGTAAATTATAAGACTGTATTTCCTGGGGCTGTAGAGATGCCTCAGTGGTTAAGAGCACCTGTTTTTGCAGAAGACCTAGGTTCAATTCTCCACAGTCACATGACAGTTCACAACCATCTGTAACTTCAGTACCAGGGGAAACAACATCCTCTTCTGACCTCTGTGGGTACCAGGCACACATGTGGTGAAAACACATACAGATAGGCCACACACACACACACACACACACACACACACACACACACACACACACACACACAAAAGCATCTAAAAATTGAAAAACAATTTTAAAAGGATGTATTTGCTGATTTGTTGGTGTTCGTATAGGAAGGGAAATCAAACTTAAGTAAAGTCTATTAAATGATGAGATTGTCTTCCACGTGAGGAAGATAATTACCCAATATATAGGTTTCCCTAACACTGTAGAAGTTTCAAATTTGAGAGGAAATCTTCAGTTAGAGTCCTCATTTTTGTTTCAAAATATTCATATTGAAAGTGAAAAATGCCTGAAACCTGACATATAGAAAGCAACACGATTTTCATGATAGTGTATTCAGGAGACAGGAAGTTGTTGAAGAAAGTAATATCTCAAGAGTAATCATAGACTTGATCATTAGATCTCACATTTGTGCACATAATACATATCAATATTTTTCTACTTTGTACTATTAAATGTTTCTTTATTGATTTACTCGCTTTTCAGAGTGAAATGGAATACTTGGGAATAAAGTATGGCTGCTTTAACTTTTAATCCCCCCAGTACCAAACTTTTTTATTTTTGTTGAATTCAAACCATGGAAAATGGTAAGACATGTTTCTTTGCGGAAGACCATTGATAACCGTCACTTACCAGCATATGTGCTTACACAGTTCCCCCCTCTTCAGAAACTCCGGGCAGTTGCATTCATGAGGGTTCCCTAGCAAAACCTTTAAAATAAAAGTAAGACAGAAAAAAAATTTAAAATCCCAGTTAGTTATATAGAGTTAGGCTAAATCTAAGTTGATAAAATAATTAGTTTAAAAGAGATTTAAAGCATTAATTTGGTTTAGTAATTCCGAACTGAATCTGTGACTGACCAGGACCGTCTGAGAAATACTCTTTCTTGACATTCTAGACTGGGTTTCCATTTCTATATTCTTCACCTTGGTCAACAACTGGCACTATGAATTAACACATTTTTTAAAAGATCATTCGTACTGAGGTGATATTAAATCTAAAATGAAAAGCTTTCGCCCCAAACCATTACTTTTTAAGGGATAGAGTTAAAGGCATTTGCCTTTTGTAAGATGGTCTTCTCACTCTAATTGGGGGGAGCATCTGAACTTTATTTTCGTTGAAGAAGATTAGATTTATTCAAGACTATGCAGTCTAAAACTGTTCGTTATCTCAATAAAATGTGTAATGAGCGAAGTAAAAAAGCTCGCTTTGAACAAAGTACAGAGTGACAAACCGTATCCAGTAGTCAACTATGAGACAAACGAGTTAGAATTTCTAAAGCAACCGGTAAGTGTTCAGTGGCTCATCTTTGACAGACTAGAGTACATGTAAATATGAAGCGTGTGTTCACTTTCCGCGTAACGAAAATTCACACATTTTCAAAGTACCCACATTTAAACTACCCTTTGATGAGCGGTTACGGTTTTAAAGCAAGTGAAAAGAAAACGATCATAGTTAGAGACTATTAGAGAGACTCTTATTTTAATGAGCAAACTTTTCGAAGATAGTAGAATTTTCATTTGATTTACAGGGCTGGTGACCACTCACAAGGCGTTCAGGAATACACGTACTACAAACCAAATATTCATGTAACTCTCTCCTGTATTTGTTTTTGAAACTAAGATTCAAGGTCCATCATCTTACAGGAGTTGGGGCAATTCGAGCTCCAGACTATCAAGGAAGAATCTTTTCTGGTAAATACTATTTCCTTTTGTAACTTGCATAGTTTTAAAGTCTGGGGATCGCTTGTTGGAATGAGTCCTCTGGTGAGGCCCATGTGTGTGTATGGTTGCAGAAGTTGGCTTAGCTCGCCTCTCCTAAGCCTCTTCCTTCCTCACCATCCCCCAAGTCCCCAAGAAAGATGGGTGGTGCGCTCCTTACTCGGAAATCCCCCTTTTCTGGCTCCTCCTCCCTTAGTAGAAAGCCGATGGGGCCGATCTGTCGCAAGAGATAGATGCTGCTACTCAGCGCTTGGTCTTGCTGCCAGCTGAGGCTATCATTCAAGTGTCTTCGCCTTTCGGGGGCTTTACAGCCTCTCCGAAGCATCCCTGGCCGCCGAGGCGCCCCTGAGCTAGGCTTTCTGAGGCGCCTTGGGTCTCTATGGCAACAGCGTGCAGCGGGTTGTTGCCTTGGTGACGGTAGCTCTGTCCTAGGTGCCCTAGTGAGCCTTGCTGTAGTTGGGGCGGGAGAAATACCCGAAGTACACCCGCTGATTTTCAAAACCCGGGGCCACAGGCACAGTTGCAAACCCCTTATTCTTTTTGCTCGTTTGCTGATTTTCTCACAGTCAGAACTGGTGAGATCAGTAAGCTAGCACCGTCGCAAACCCAGTTACAGTGTGGGCTCCCTAGGCGAAAGTTAGGCTCTGCCTTTTTCTCATCCATAATCAAAAAATTCAGCATGATGGTTGACCGTTCAAAATTCTTTTCCAGTGGCTCACAACAGCATATAGTGAGTAAGTCGTTGAGGGAAGATGAAAAAAAAAATAGGGCTAACCTTAGGCACCTCAACTAGGTGTGTGTGTGTGTGTGTGTGTGTGTGTGTGTGTGTGTGTGTGTGTGTGTGTTGCTGTGTTGGTCTTAAAGCTAGGACAAACTCAAGTTACTTGTTGGGGTTGGATGTTTGATGTATCCACAGCCTCTAAGCTTATAAAGCTCTATTTTAAGGAGTTAGATTTTTTTTTCAAAGTATGTCAGGTTGACCCAACAATCCACAAATTGTTTCGGAACTTTGTTTCTATCTTCTGAGTTGAGATATTAATCAACAGTTTGAGTCATGGTTACTGAACGAGAAGCCATGTTGCTGGATTCTCTTCAAGAAACCGAAAGCAAGAGAGAGCTCTGCTTGGCAGTTGGGTTACAGGAACAAGGAAGGCATCAATCCTGTCTTAACAGGGGAGGAAACCTCAACTAGATCAGGTCAAGACCCCAAAAAGAAAATGGTAGAAATCCCAAACCAGTGTAAAAATGGTGGTTAAGGCTGCTTGACAAAATGTGAGTCGTCTGCATAAACACCATGGAACCTCAGGTCCGAGGCTTGAACTGACTGCATTTTGTTTTGCCTTCTTGTTAAGTGATAAAGGACTAACAGTTACACTACTATATTTCCAGCATTAGCATCAATCAAACACATCAAAAAAAGGAAAACACTATATATTAAGAAAGCCCCTTTAAGTTTTTTTAAGAGAACAAGATAAATTGTAAACTCATTTTATATACTAGTATTTATAATTTAAAAACTCAGAATACATGAATGTTGATTCATATTTTCTGTGTAGCAGAATGAGTCAGGTTTCACGCTGAAGATACTTCATGTAGTCCCTCTTCACCATCCTCCATGCCTGAATGCGCTTACAAGCATAAAGTTATTTAAGAATTTAAAAATCAAACATCAATAAATATTTAAGTTATGGAATTTTATTTAGAATGATATTTGCTTCATGTGTGGTAAATACTATTTTTGAAAAGGTCATATGCTTAAATTATAAATGACATAAATTGAATATAGTTCCTTAATTCCATTTTGAGGAACGGCAAAAGTACCAGTATTCATGTTCTCATGGGAGTTAAAAAGAGAAAGTACAGATTTTGAAACAGCACTGTAGTCTAGCTGGATGACATTTGTTTTTGTAGCTGACAGTTAAAATTTTAGAAACAGCTTTGGAATCAGGTGACTGTTCCATATGCTTTCTTCATCTTTTGAAATTTTGATGACAGGAATAATGTTTTTGCAAATGTTTTAACTTGGAGAATTAAAATTTCTCCTTAAATTTACACTTTTATCCTTCATGTTATATGTCATATGCCCCCCCAGGAAAACTGAGCTTCATGGATTGATAAATTTGTTTAACGAATGAATTACTAATTCAATTGACTATAGAAGACAGGTGTTAATAAATTTCTGTATCTCCAACTGAAATGTGATAAAGCTAGACTTGCAGTGTTAGCAGAGAAGGAAGAAGAGTAATTGAAGGCTGAGGGAGAAGGCAGTTGCTATCTCAACATGGATGTGTGTAATTAGCCTACGAGTGATGAACACTGAGATAGGTTGGCAATGACTGAGCATACCTGGGACTGATGTGTGTGGGGAAATACTTTAAGAACAGAGCTAATCCACTAAAAATCTTCATTTTTTTGCTTTGTCTAACACATAGGAATGTGCTGAGGTATTGAAGGAAGAAAAATATAATGGAAATAATGCTTGGCTTCTGTCCTGGCTGATTTTGTGTCTCCTTGACACAAGTTAGATTCTTCTGAAAGGCGGGAACCTCAGTCATAGAAAAGAGGCCTCTGTAAGATTCAGCTGTAGGGCATTTTCTTAATTAGTGATTGATGGAGGAGGGCACAACCCACTTTGGATGGTGCTATCCATTGATCTGGTGGTTCTGGGTTCCAGAAGAAAGCAGGCTGAGTAAGATATAGGAAGCAAGCCAGTAGGCAGCATCCCTCCATGACATCTGCATCAGCTCCTGCCTCCAGGTTCCTGCCCTGCTTGAGTTTCTGTCCTGACTTCCTCTAACCATGAACAGTGATGTGGAAGAGTAAGCCAAAGCGACCTTTTCATCCCAAGTTGCTTTGATCATGGTGTTTCATTACGGCAATAGTAATCTTGACGACGTCAGCTTAGAATGATTAAAAGCTTATAGAGAATATTAGAGTTTGTTTTCCTCTACTAAATAGTACAAAAGAAAAAAAGAAGATGTAGAATTCATTAAACTTAAGACAGAACCAGTAGAACCAATTTAAAGCCAGAATCATCTCTGGCCAGTTGCAGAAGGAATCATCAGAATGGAAATGTGATCTTGCTGTCTTGAAGATGAAGAGGAACACATGAAAAGGGATTCTGGTCCCCTGGAAGATTAGCTTTTGACTGACAGTGATCAAGGAAATAAGAGTCCTTAAACCTGTAACCTCAAGAAAAATGGATTTTTTCCCATCAAACTAAATGGGGTTGAAAGCAGATTCTAACTCAAAACTTCCAAATGAAAGCATAGCATGGTTGACAAATTGAATTCAGTTTTGTGAGGCACAAGCAGACCCTAGGTGAGTGACCTAGGCAGTCACATGTGGCTGGGTCCAGGCTGCTGCAGTGGGTTATGTCTGAGTCCCTTGAACAACAGTAGCCAGGATCTGGGCTGATGTACATGTCTCATGTTACCACAGGGGGGTCATAGGAACAATGGGTGTTGAAATTCAAGGACTGCACTAAGCCAGCCCTGTCCCTTCCTGGCCCTGGGATAGTTGACTCTGCCTGTTGCTAACACTGAAGCAGGAGAGCTGGCTCTGCATCCCTATGAGAGAGCTGAGCCACCATTCAGGAGAGATTATCCCACCCTTCAACACAGGCACGGGACTAGGAGAGCTGGCTCTGTCCCTCACCTGAGAGGGTGGTCCCAGGCCCAGATCGACCAGATCAGCTACCACCCAGATCCATATTCTGGGCCTTGGGCTGGCTCACCCTAACAGCTGATCCATTTATGATCTAATGGAAAAAGACTGATCTCCATGACCGGGAGAGGAAGATGACAACAGGCTATCGGAGAGGAGTTTCCGTGAGGGCCCAGTGATGATGCTCACCACACCAGAGGCCTTGGATGAATGAAGAGGTGTTGGAAAGATGAGTGAGCGAGGTGGGTTTTTTTGTTTTGTTTTTAATTAATTTTGGGAGGGCATACTGCAGGGGTGAAGAACAGAAATGGAGGTACTTGCAGGTGAGAATTATTGGGGTACATGATGTGAAATTTCCAAAGAATGAATAAAGAATTGTGTTTAAAAAAGAAAATACTGGCAAATGAATGTTTAAAATAACCGTTGGAATAGATAGAAGGAAAAGAGCTTATAGATGAGGGGAGCGACTCTTGTATGAGCAGGCAACAGTGTTCTTCATTATCTGCCTGCATTGGATTGGGCAGCAGAATCACTTCAAATAGTTTTAGGTATAAAGGAATTTATCATAATTTATAAGTTAGTTGTCTAGGCAAACCACAGGATCAACCCTTGATCTGTGAGGTACTCAGGAAAATTGTTTCCTTGCATCATGAGGTTTACCTGCATCACAGAAAAAAATATATGCAAAAGATCCAAAGGATCTGAGCACTAGACATCACACCTGCGTGTTGCTGCAGCAACAACAAGCGACTTTATGATTATCAGTGTCATTAGACCACAAGCTCAAAGCTTCAGTTTTGCCTTTGGGGAGTTATCAGGACTAAGCTGTGTGTTTCAATACCGATGACAGCAACCTGGGAGAGACAGTACTAACAAATTAGAGAGATCAAAGTGGGTAAGGAAATTCAGAGTCTAAAAGAAATTGTCCAGCATGGAGAAAGGGGAACACGCCTCCACTGCTGGCTGGAGTGTCAACTTGTATAGCTACTCTGGAAATCAGTATGGAGGTTCCTCAGGAAAATGGGAATCAGTCTACCACAAGACCCAGCAATTTCACTCTTAGGCATATACCCAAAAGATGCACATTCATACAACAAGGATGTCTGTTCCACTATATTTATAACAGCATTATTTGTAATAGCCAGAACCTGGAAGCAACCTAGATGCCCCCCAACTGAAGAATGGATAGAGAAAATGTGGTACATTTACATAGTGGAGTACTATTCAGCAGAAAAAAATACCAATGGAATCTTGAAATACGTTGGCAAATGGATGGCACTAGAAGAAACCGTCCTGAGTGAGGTAACCCAGCCACGAAAAGAGAAATATGGTATGTACTCACTGATATATGGATTTCAGACATGGATCAGGGGAGTGCCAGCATACAATCCCACTTCCAGAGAGTCTGGGAAACAGAACCTTCGTCCAGTGACTGATGGAAGCAGAGGCAAACACCCACAGCTAAGAACTGAACTCCTGGAATCCAGTGACAGAGAGGGAGGACCAAAGGGGTCAAGACTGGGCTGGTTTAACTCACAGAAACAGTTGACCTGAACAAGGTGGAGTTCTTGGACCCCTGACTGATGGCTGGGAGGACAGTATGGGACTGATCCAGACCCCCTGAATGTGGGTGTTGATGGGAGATGCCATTCTGTAAATCTGTCTCTTATTGGTTGTTGAATAAAGCACTGTTGGCCAA